TCCCGGAGTCCTCTAATCCAGCCAAGAGGGCAAGCAAGATTAATGCATGGTGAGGAAAGTAGCCTGGGTCAGCCCAGGCCTGTGGGGGAGAGGAAAGGTCCTTCCAGTCACCCTACCAGAGAAAGCGGACCTTCTCTGCTGTGTGTGGGTTCTAGAAGCTTCTTTCCACTTAAGGAGACAGTAAATCCTGTCTTCCTTTCACTAGGGTGAGGCGTTGGCTTTCAGTGGATTCCTGGTGCTGGGCTGGGGAGACCAGCACTCTCTCCCAGGCTGGAATAGACCCATTTCTGAAACACTAAGTTTTTGTAAATGAAATGTTTAAGTATCTTGAAAGACCTCAATATTGGGAAGAATCTTTCCATAAAATGTATTCTCCATGACAAACTATTTTGCTGGGTTCTAGAGTTCAAATAACAGCTTCTAGCTAATTTGCTTTGAGCACTTGAGCCTCCTGGGCCAGTTTTCCAGTGTACCCAGTATGCACTGCTCAGCCTTCACATCGGCCCAGTGAGGCTGTCGCTGTGGTCTCTGAGGTCTGGACAGGGACGGGCTATGTGTCCTGGATTACGGAAGCTGAAGGGAAAGCGGTCTTCAAAAGTCTCTCTCTTCTGAGTCTTAGGGAATACTTCGGATTTAATTTTATGTTGGCTTATATAAAATGTGAACATGGTTCTAGAATCAAATCTAGAAAACATAGAATGTCTGTCCTTTCCTCCATGCTGCTTTATCCTGCCAACACCAGTAACTTTGTCAATGGCTTATTCTAACTTTTATATGTGAACAAATACTTCTCAGAGAGGAATGGTATCATACTCTACATACTTTTCTCCATCTTGAGAACTTTAAGGAACATAAAACTAACTGACATACTTATACTTAACTTTGTAAATTGGAAGGTAGAGCCATCCCATCCTAAAGGGACTTCAAATTGCTTATTTGACTACTTTAACTACCTTGGAAGACCCCCAGAGACCATCTGACTTCTTTGAGAACTAGAAAATTATGAAAACAATCAAGAATGCACGCAACTATCCCCAAAACTAAAAATTATGTCAGTTTATACAAGAGAGCTCTGTTTTGTGACCCATGTCAGGCTGTATGTAGGCAATAATCATCAATAAATACTAACATCATGAAAAGGAGAGAACTGTTACCAATTCCACAATGGAAGTAAACATCATCATTTGTAGCATTGAAAAAAAATAAAAATTCAGAAACTCAGCCCTGCTTACCACCAACATCATTAATCCCAGGAGAAGGACCCAATATACAACTCAGAGCAACGCAGCCAGCAAACTCAGACCACGGGAGTCCAACAGAAGAACCATCCTGGCTTCTTTGACAAATAAATTTCAAGAAATAACAAAAGAACTAAAAACAAACAAAAATTAACGGGAATCTAAGAGATAATTAGTTTTCATGTATAGATCTTGTTTGAGCTCTGATTCTAATCAGCACTCAAAAAATAATTTTTAGGACCCAGAGGGGATCCCATAACAATTACCAAATGGATATTTGGTAAAAATTAAGAAGTTGTTAATTTTTTAGATAAGTGACTATTATTGTGGGCTTTTTGTTCCTTGTATTTTAGACACACAAACTAAAATATTTATAGATAAAATTTGATGACATCTGGAATTTGCTACAAAATAATTCAGTGAGGGAAGAAATGGCCAAAATATGGGCGAAACGAGATTGGCCTTGTAGCTATTCTTCTGTTTTGCATGTTGTGTTGTGAGACAGGGTCTTGCTATGCTCTAGGTTGGCCTGGAGCTCATGTCAGTCCTCCTGCCTCAGCCTCCCAAGTGCTGGGATTGAAGGTGGGTGTCACTATGCTTGGCCCTGTATCAGTCCTCATTGAATCAAAGTGCTGGGTGCAGTTTTACATTCTGCTCCCTGTCTCTGCAAGCTGAAAATTTCCCTACAACATTTTCAAAGACCTTAAGAAATATCTGCTCTCATGTGTTGTTGGCCCCAATTTATTGCCTATAGATCTATTCAGGCACCAACATGGGTTAGTTTCCTAAGGTGAATTTATCCATACTATTTAGTAATACATTTGGATGTCTCTTTGCACATTGGAATTGATATAGGGGAACGAAACTCCCAACCTAATAGGTGTCCAGGATGAGTTCATGCTCTCCAAAGTTGAAGAATGAATTTTAGGAGACAGAGGGGTCCTGCATGGAATGCCAAAGACTCTGTCTTTTTAGGGATTTTATAGAGCAAAACCCTAAGGTGAGGCGGGTCCAAGAAGGGAAAAAAAAATGGGAACTCACAAGGTGGACAGGATGTGGGACAGAACTATGGTTGACCAATAAGAGTAACTGCTCAGCTAAAATTGATTCTATCCAGACAAATTGGGGAGCAAGTCACATAGCAAGCAGGCATGAATACAGAACAGTGACTCTTGCGGTAGGGCGCTGGGATGATGGCTCCTGGCATCCTCAGGGCACTAGAAACCTAGTTGGAGTGTCCTTTCCTGAGGAAGTACACAGGTGCATCTGTTTGTCTTTTGGGTTGGGGTTGGGCCCACAGCAGGTGTCTGTCTCCTGCACAGTGGCTCCGTGTATACTGGCTCCTTCCAGGGCCCAGCTCTGTCTGCCTAGATAATTTCTGTCTAACACAGCTTTCTGTAACATAACAACTTCACTCCACTCCTCCCTGCCCACAGAACACGACTCCCTTCGTTCTAGCCTCAGCAGACCCAGATCTCTCTCCTCAGCAGCCAGGGGAGCTGCAAGCTGGACGGGACGTCCAGCTCCAGTCTTGAAGAGGAGCTGCAGATGGGGAGGGCACATGACCACAGACCCTGGAAGCTTTCTCAACACCTGGGAATGTGTCCCCATCTCAGGCTGAGGACAGCACCGTGACCGTGGAAAGGGTCACGGAGTCCTCTGGTGGATGAGGAGGTGTGGTCCGGGACCCCTCAAGAAGGGCTCTAGCTGTGCAGAGATGCCCCCCTTCCCAGGCCACACCATCATGAGCTGTCTTGTCAACACCAGGACATGAAGGCCCGGCTTTGGTGACCCAGTGCAGGACGACCCTGACAGGTCAGCTGAGCCTCCAGTTCCTCTGGGCGTCAGCAGGGCCTGTGACACCACCCAACATCTGCTGGGCTGCAGGCCTGTCCCCTCACAGATGCTGCTTCTATGGTTGCGCTTTGCACACCCGAACCCCATCCCTGTCCCAGAGGTGGATCCTGAGGACTGGCGACCGTGGCAAGGACACAGAGAAGCACTGTCTTTCCTGGCACAGGCAGCTCTGCTAGGGCCCTCATCCTCTGTGTCCTCTGCAGTGTCCTGGGAAGGTGCATGGCCTGTGATTGCAAGGCACTGGCTTGTCATGGCTTTGTGGCCTGTGGCTGACACTTGTTTTTTGCTGGAGTTGCCGAGCAATGTCTTAGACCTGAAGGCTGGACCTGGGGTGGGCCTGTCCTGCTGCTCTGTCTCCCAGTTCTGTCCACCTCCAGGGGCAGACACCAATGCCAGCAGGAGCCTGCCCTGTATGAGGGTCCCGACACACAGCAACACAGCCACCCTCCCTGGCACAGATCCATGTGTAGGTTCTTCCATGTGGCCAAGCACTTCGCCTGAATGCAGGCGAGGCTGCTCCAAGCTCCAGGTGGGCTGCTCTGCTCTCCTGACAGCGGGGATGTGTACACGGCGGGCATCGTGGGAGGAGATGCTGAGCTGCAGCTCTGGGCCTCCCTGGGCTGATGACCTGGGCAAGTACGGACGAGGGCTTCGTGGACCTGCTCTTTACTTTGGTCCCTTTTCACACAAGATCTTTTGTTTCTCGATCCTGAGTCCTGTTAATAAAGAACTTCCACAGGAAGTGCCAATTGAGCAGAGAGCAAGATTGGAGCACAGTCTGGGCTGTGCTTTGCACTTAGAGATGGCTGTGTGATCTCTAGATTACAGCCAGTGGTGGTTGCTGGTTTGCTTTGAGTTTTTCCAACAGCTCTCAGGATCGGAAGTGTTATTCCTCTGCCTAAGGATTTCAGTTACTCTGAGGTACAAGAGAGAAGCACCTTGGAAAGGAAGGAGATTCTGACAGACATCACCTCGTGGATTAACCTGGAGAGCAAGAGGCTAAATGCAAGGGCCTGGCCGTGACTCAGAGGAAGCCAGTAGCTGTGACTGGACCGTGGGATAGAACCCAGCATTAATTAGCTGGGTGTGAGGGTGCATGCCTATAACCCCAGCACTTGGGAGGCTGAGGCAGGAGGATTGATGTGAATTTGAGGCCATTTTGGTTTGCATTATGAGTTCATCTGAACTACACAGTGAGATCCCAATTCAAGGAGAAAAAAAAAAAATTAACCAAACTTAACCCTCCCAGCAACCAGGGCAAAACACAGAGCAGTATGCTCTACTGTACTTGATTTTAAAGAGAGACTTTGCCCCTCCCTCACCCAGAGCTTGGCCTGCTCTGCTCCTTCACTCAGCAACCCCCAGGGACCAGAGTTTTTGTGGCCAGGAGGCACCCTGGGTCCATCGATCGGCGCCAAGGCAGGTAGTGGATTCTCCTTGTGCTTCCTTCTGCTTGAACTGGGTGCAGTGAGGGACATACTTGTTCTGATGCCAGACTCCCAGCCAGCCTGTGAGTGTGGCTTCCCAAGAGGGACCCAGGCATCCTGAGCAGGACATGTGACCACAACCCGAGCAATCACCGCTGGCATTATGGCCCAGGGAAGGTGGGGCTGGACCCAGCACGGGTTACGGACCCGTGTGTCATGGCCCCCACAGGCACCATGGTGGCCTGCTTCAGGCCAAGAGCCAAGAGCATGACTGTGTGTGAAGCTGCTTTGCTGCACACATGGCCAGGCCCCAGGGGTTAAGGGAAAATGATAATTTTAAAAATTTGCACTGTGTCCATCGACTCAGCTTACTCTTCTAAAAAACAAAGAAAACCCAGGATTTTAGTGACCAAACATGTTGGTCCAGCCCACAGAAAAGCAGTGACCAAAACCCAAGGCCATGCGTGAGAGGACAGACCTCTGAGGAGCTTCAGGACAGTTCTGCAGCTGAGTGACTCGGACAGGGCCTCCCTCTGCATCAGTTTAGCTTGGCATCTGAAAACTGAAGGTGTGGATTACAGCAGTTCGAAAGCCTCCCCACACACCCCAGGCAGGGAGATCACTAAGCCCTCGGGGAAAGGCTGGTTCAAGGGATCTGCATCAGGGCAGACACTGAGCTTTTGTTTGGTTATATTTGCCTGTTGGTTTTTAACCAAGGGCTGCAGGCCCTCATCTTCCAGAAAGCTGGGAGATGCTCACCTAGACGCCCCAGGGGCTCTTCCACCCGGCCTCCCAGGAGTTTGATCACTAGACCCGCCAGCTCCTCCATTAGTGGGGCAGAGTCCTCAGCACTGGACTCCATGGTCCAAGACGGGTCACTCACTTCTCACCAGTGAGCCAGGCACAAAGCCCCACCAGACCCAGTGAACCCGGCTGTTTTGTGCTGGTCAGAACTGTGGCTGTCCACCCTGATCCCCGATACCCAGAGTAGGTGTCCACAGTGTCCTGCTCTCTGTCTTCCTCCCCAGACCGCAGCTTTATAACTTGAGCATCCAGAAGCCACTACAGGAACTCACCTCCCTGCAGGGTCCCGGGGAAAGAGGGTGGTGGCTGTGTCAGATCTGGAGCTCCCGAGCCACTGGCCCGGCCTCCTGGATGTGGCTAGTGGCCTGAGGGGGCAGCCCTGACCACAGCCAACCACAGGGCCGCCCAGTGTTATCTGGATCTGGATTCTAAGCCAAACGAGTAAAACAATCAGGAGACACAAGGTCCCATGACCACAGATCAGTAAGGGCACTGGGGATGATTACTGTGGGTTAACGATAGCTCTGATCGTTTACAGATGGGGAACGTGACACAGTTTCTGAGGTTTGCTTTGACATGATCTAGCAGGAAGGGAAGCGAGGGTAGGAGGAGGGAGGGCAACACGGGGGACCCTCATGAATTCTTACTGCTCTGCTCTGTGTAGTAAAAATGTCCCAGAACAGCAAATGCTAAGTCGCAGTGATGGCTGCTTTCCTTGGGAATATTCTGCTTTGCACGTTGTTGAGCAGTGGCCAAGCGGGAAATCCTTTGTTCCCGCTGTGGGGATGCGGGGGGTGCAGAAGCCAAGGGACCTCACTGTCACTCACATCATATTGAACTCCTTAAGGGACCCCCATAAACCTCCAAAGCAGTTTTGCCGACATCTGGCCCCTGGGCCATGGTTTGGCTGGGATGGGGGTGGGCATGGGGTGGGATTTGGGAGCTGAAAAGACCGAACTGCCAGAAAAACATCCTCTGCCCTGGGATCATTCAAACGCGGACCATCTTCTCCATTTTTCCCCAAGCAGAACGAAGATTCTGGGCTCCTGGCCAGCATTCCCCTCCCGGCCACTTCCTGTTTCTTTGCAGACAGGCACAGAGCAGAAACACCTGGAAAACATCGGCGCAGCCCAGACAGCAATATGACCTCAACCCAGGTGCAGATGCCTTGCCGACACCACAGCCCGAGCTCCTGTTATGTGCAGAAATGTGAGGGAGTCTGCGACTCCACACCCAACCCGCAGACTGGGAGAACAGGGTAGAACCCAGGCCCCTGGCCACCCTGCCCCGCAGCGGAATCTGGGCACTGGGCCTCAGGAGGTTTCTGAACCGCCTCCCTCACACAGTCCTGCAATCCCTTCCATGCAGACTCAGCGGGGAAAAGAAAATCAAATTAAGGAAAGCCGGCTTGGGAAGTAAGAGCCGGATAAACCGAGTGTTTCTCTGTGGGGAAGGACCCAGACCAAAGGCAGCACCCAATGACACTGCCCTGTGCCCTCGCCAGGAGTTTTCTGGGAGATTAGAACCAGGCCAGGTTTTGTTCCCTGCGATAAACCTCTGTCCTTCCTGGGAGCCAAGGCCCAGGCGAGGGAGCTGTGGCCAGGAATGCACTGAGTGAGCACCAGACGGCCTGAGGCCCAGCGCAGCAGCTGGCCACCTTGCTTCCATGCTGGCTCCCCGAAAGCGGCTCCTCTAACTGCCCATTCCCAGGCAGAGTGGGAAATTGAGGCCCCGGGATCACCCCAAGAGGCCTGTCACTCTGACGCATTCCCGGGACAGCAGGGCTGTGCCTGTAACCACCGGAACTGCCGATATACCAACTTGCAAGACCTCTCAGCCATTTCTCCCGCAGCTCCGAACTCTGCAGCACCCCAAGATCACCACCAGGTCCCAAACAGGCGGAGAAGCTCAACCTAAGGTGCGCAGAGCTGGGACTCTGACGTCCTACCTCTCGGGTGAGGCACACTTGTAATCTGAGCACTTCAGAGGCCAAGGCAGGAAGACTGCAAGTTCAAGGCCAGCCAGGGCTGCGTGACAAAACTGTCTCCAAAAAAACCCACTGGCCATGCTGGCTGAGGTCCAGAGCCTGTGAGCCGTGCTCAACGCTTCTGTTCTCCCAGGCGCAGCGGAAAGGCAGGTGCTGTGCGCTCCGACCTTCAGCATTCGTCCCGTGGCCCTTCTCGCCACGTTCACACATGCCACATTTCACAGGTAGGTTTTCACCCTGTCCATACCACGAAGCGGATGCTGGTGGCCCAGTCCCCCCAGCTCACAGGTTGAAACATGGCCCCTCCCCCATGGCCATTGTTCCCCAAGGAAGAAATCCTTCCACTCTGATCCACTTGTGGGAACTGACTAAGGCCTGGGTGGGAAGGGAGGTCACTCCAAGCAGGTTTCCTGCTTGGTTCCCAGCAGGCATAGTTGGGGGTATGACAGGAGGAAGGAGATGGATCTGCTGCATCATAGCACATTTGGGGAACCCTCAGGTTGTTGTATACCCATTCAGGAGGCTGAGGCAGGAGGATCACGGAGAGTCCCAGGCCAGCCTGTAATAATATACCAGGACCTCCAATATACCAACTTGCAAGGCCTCTCAGCCATCTTCCCCGCAGCTCTGAACTCTGCAGCACCCCAAGATCACCACCGGGTCCCAAACAGGTGAAGCTCAACCTAAGGTGCACAGAGCCAGGACTCATAGTGTGTGATCAGAGTGTGATTTCTTTCATTTTCCAGTCTTTCTGTAAGTGTGTTCAATGGAAAGTGCTCCGTGTCTGTTGAAAATCAGGCATTTTCCTGACCACTCTTAGATCCATTGGCCCACTGTGTAGCTCAGAGACAGATCCATGTGGTGTCCCCTCATCACTCCACACTTCCCCACGGGCTGGACCTCTCCCTGCCGCAGGACCCCAGTGCTTGAGCCCCACCAGGACCTGACCATCTGTGGAACGCCCAGCCCACACCTGGAGCCTCGGGAATCCTGAGTTCGAAACTCTCCTGTTGCCTGTGCCCCCACATGGATCCCCCAGAGACCATGAGGTGCTGGTGACAGAAGAATATGAGGGTGGGGAGAGGACAGGGAACTCAGCCTGAGGGTCCCACAGCTCCTCCTTCCCAGGCTGGACCCACAGTGAGCAGGACAGCGCTGGGCCCCAGGGCTTTGTAACCCAGAGCATGAGCCAGCTTGAGAGGAGGATGGAGGAACACTGTGTCGGCTGAGCCACCTATCAGGTGTTCTGTCCCCTGGGGCCACCCTGAGGGATGCTATGCAGACTGCACAGCCACCCTGCTCCAGGCTTGATTCTGAGCGCCCAGAGCTGCAGAGTGGTGACCCTGCAGATCCGAGCAAATTTCAGCAGGCTGAGGGGAGTGATGGCCAGGCTCCCAGTGGTGCCACTGGAGGGCGGCCGGGAGGGGAGCCCTTGGCCAAGGACCTTGAGGATTGTGGAGGTGGAGAGGTGGCTCCAGCCACTCTGTGGGCAACCTCTCTGTCATGGCCATGTCTCAATGTCCCCCAAAGCCTCATGGAGTTTTAGATGGGGCTTTTCTGGAAGTGGCTGAATCTAGAGGTGCGACTGATTCCTAGTGCAATACTGGAATGAAGGGTGGGTGACTGCTGGGTCTGTCCACTGACTGACCTGCCTCCGCACTCATCCTGGGAGGCTGGATACAATGGAAAGGACAGAAAGAGCTCTGTCTCTCTCTCTCTCTCTCTCTCTGTCTCTTTCACTGCTTTTTTCTTTTTTTGAGATACAGTTTCACTGTGCAATTCAGGTTGCCCTTGAACTCATTTTGAACTCATTTCAGGCTGGCCTCAAACTTGCAGAGATTCTCCTGCCTCGGCCTCCCAAGTGCTGGGATTACAGGCATGTGCCCCCACACTCAGCTTTTTTCACTGCTTTTGCTGTCTTTGGCCAGCATGAACTGTTGCCCTCTGCCATACCACCCCGCCTTGCAGTCAGTCAGTGATGGACTAAACCTCCACAAACTGTGAAGTAAGTAAACCTTTTCCCCTTTGAGTCTTTTTTTTGTCTTTTTCCTTTTTATCGGTACCAGGGATCGAACTCACAACTGCCTGCTTGCAAGGCAGGCACTTATGCCGCTGAGCTAAATCCCCAGCCCTCCCCTTTAACTTTGGATGTCGGGTATTTTGTCTCAGCAATGAGAAAGGTAAAACCAAGATAGAGTCTGGTACCAGAGAAGTGGGGTCGTTGCTGTGACTGCACCTGACCATATGGTTTGCGGGAAGAGTTTGGAAAGGTCCAGGTATGTCACCTGAAAGAGGAGTGCTGGAACTCCTTAGGCTGTTCCAAGTGGGAGATTCTGGTCAGCGCTCAGAAGATCAGCATGCTGGTAAAGACCAGGCTTGGGGGCTTCTTATGGGATGCCTGCTCCCCACCCACAGCCCTGACCAGAGCCTGGAACTGTAGTATTGGATTTGTGAAACCGCTCAACAGGCTTCAATCAACAGCTTTGCCTTTAGACTGGTTTGGGCCAATTGACAGGCTGGAATTTGAGCCAATCGGCAGACCTGAATTTGGGCCAATCACAGGCCTGTGGCTGCTTTATAAGGCACTGCCCCCCACTGGCTAGTGTTTAGGAGGCTCCCGTGGCTCCCTTGCCACCTCCCTCCGGAGGTCCTGGGACTGTGCTCAGGGTTCACCTCTCAGGTGATGTAGGCTCGGGAGGTCTTGCACCTCAGCCAATGAAGTCAAGCAGCAGTGCTCATGGTCAGCTGGCCATGGCTGGGGTATCTAGGTGGTCACTGATTGAGGGTTGAGGGCTTGGTGCTGAGTCCAGAGCCACCAGCTGGGCTGCATGTGGCCCATGTACGGCTTCTGCCTGAACAAAGCAGAAGAGCCATCAGCCCAGCTATCCAGGGGAGGGCCACCTGTCATCTCAGTGTCCTAGCTGAAGGGGGACAGGGCCTCAGAGTCACAGGAGTGACAATGGAAGCAGAGTCAGAGAGAGCGACTGCTGGCTTTGGAAAAGGATGAGGTCACAAACCCAACATTTAGGCAGCATCTCCAAACGAGGAGGACAAGGACAGACAGGGTCTCAACTTTATAGTTCAGGTAGGCCTTGAGTACTCACTACTATCCCTGGTTGGCCTCACACTTGTGGTGAGCCTCCTGCCTCAGCCTCCTGAGTGCTGGGCCTAGAGAGTGCCATCACACCCAGCTCAAATTTATATTTTTTTGTGTGCACGCACGTGTGTGTGTGTGTGTGTGTGTGTGTGTGTGTGTGTGTAGTACTGGGGATTGAACCCAAGGCCTTTGCACTGAGCTATATCCCCAGTGTCTCATTAAGTTGCCTGGTGGGACCCAAACTTGTGATCCTCCTGCCTCAGCCTCCTGAGTGCCGGGATTCCAGGTGTGCACCACCATACTCAGCAACATCAGAACCTTCCACAGTCATGGCTGAAGAAGCTGAGGTAGAAACAAGAAATCCTGGTGTTGCTATGTATTAGTACCTGTCCCAGTTATAAACATCAGAGAGGAGAGGGAAGCTCTGCATATGAAATTCATCAAGTAACCAAAAATAAGCCTTGATAACAAAAATCTAATAGAATTTAGGGCTAAAAGTAATGGAAAGAACCGCATCTGATAAGAAAAGGAGTAATTAAAAAATCGTGAATGTAAACGGAGTATTAATGTAGCTGGTTACATCTCAACAGATTCCTATCGGAAAAGATAGTGCGAGTGAGCTAAACATTAATACTAAATAAAAGTACACAGATAGCAAAATTAGCCCTGTATTTTCTTAGTATATGCGCTGCCAAAGCGGGCGCTGACCCCTTGTTAAGTCCCAAGTTTTATTGTTGGCAGCAAAACCCAGAACTGACCTAGGCTAATTTAAGCAGGAGAAATCTCC